GGGGAGTGGGAGAGGGAGAAGCAGGCTCCCCGCGGAGCAGGGAGCCCGACGCGGGGCTCGATCCCAGGACCCTGGGGTCACGACCTGAGCCGAAGGCAGACGCTTAACCGACTGAGCCACCCAGGTGCCCCCTGGGTGGACTTCCTTAAGGCAGAGTGTTGAAAGAGGAGAGAAGTGCACCACTACCCTCCCTGAGCCCCTCCCTTGATGTCCCCCATCATGCCTTGCAGATGCCCCCAGGGGAGTGGAGATCCTTTTTAGCCCCTCAGGGCGGAACATCCTTCCAGGTGATCTGGTCGTACTCACCTGCCAGGTGAACAGCAGCTACCCCGAGGTCAGTTCTGTGCACTGGGTCAAGGACGGGACACAGCTCCAAGTCCAGGGTCGTATGCTGAGGTTGTCCCAGGCAACCTGGGGCGATGCCGGTGTCTACACCTGCCGAGCTGAGAATGGCGTGGGCTCTTCGGTCTCACCCCCCATCAGCCTCCACATCTTCAGTGAGTCCTCGGGGAGCCTGGGTCTTGACCGGAGGGTGGGGAGGGGTCCAGGCCACTGTTGCTGAAGGGAGCCAGACCAAGGCACCTTCTGGGACGTGGGTGTGGAGTCCTAGCCCTGCCTCAAATAGAAGACAAACCTCCCTGGCCAGGGTGGGCTGTCACAAGAAGCCCAGTAAACAGGACAAAGAGATGCAGCGCCTGTCCAGAAGGGGCCTGATACAGAGCGTGCAGGGATTTAGGCTGATTGGCTATAACCCCAGTGCACTGGAAGTCGGCTGGTTATCCCCCAGCGGCCCTCTGCTGCCCCCACAGCGGCTGAGGTCCAGGTGAGCCCAACAGGTCCCATCCTAGAGAACCAGACGGTGACACTGACCTGCAACACACCCAAAGAAGCGCCCAGTGAGCTGACCTACAATTGGTACAAGAACCACGTCTTGCTGGAGGATGCCCACAGCCACACCCTGCAGCTGCACTCGGCCACCAGGGCCGATACCGGCTTCTACGTCTGCGAGTTGCGGAACGCCTACGGCAGAGAGCGCTCCGGCCCCGTCAGCGTGGTGGTCAGCCGTAAGTGGCCAGGGCAGGGGGCGCTGGATGCTGCCGGAGCCTGGTCAGAAGGTGGGGCCCCACAGGAGGGTTCGGGGCCTGGGCCTGATGGGCTCTGAGCTCACATCCCAGCTCTGCAACTCTGGGCAAGCTTTGACCTCCCTGGGCCTATTTTAAGATTTTTTTTTTTTGAAGATTTTATTTATTTATTTGACAGAGAGATGGAGAGCACAAGTAGGCAGAGCGGCAGGCAAAGGGAGAGGGAGAAGCAGGCTCCCCGCCGAGCAGGGAGCCCGATG